AATCTGAATAACTATACCTTTAAATAACTTAGTTTTATTACTGTATTATAAAAATGAAAAAATAAACTCTTGCCATAAAGTTGTAGCAAATTTCAATTTCAATAAGTCAATCTTGCATGACATGAAGGAAATTTTACATAGATATAATTCTGGATAATTGTTTGATATAGATAGTGTGTATTATTTATTTTTCCATAAGCTAATTGTTGTTCTTATGTTAATACTGTAATAAAGCTTCACTTCATTTCTGTTGCCCGGGTGTATAATTCAGTGTTTCATTAAAATTGAATATTTGCTTACGGTAAACTATATGGTTCTCTGTCATTTTCCAGAAAAGAACTTTTCCGACAATAATTGATCAAAACCAACCCTAGCCCTAACCTAATGTGGGCTAGCTTATCGGGATTTTAACATTGTCGGGAAATGATAGAAACCGAAATTATATATTTATCACAATAGTTAGTAGAGAAAATTTCATCCTTAATATAAAATAAATGCTAAATTTCTTAAACGTCAGTTCTATATTTTCAACCTATATTTTATTGTCTTAGTTAAATTTGTTTAAGATCAAATTTCGCAAAGATTTTAGTGCTTTGACTTTGCTTCAATTGCTTTAGTAAATTACCGTATAATCCAATTGAGTCTAGTTCATGTACTGTATGAATAATATGTAAACATGGAGATGTGCCAACATTAGATATGCTCCAATTTTGTCTCAAATCCACCATTCATAAAAAAAAAATTTTTTTTGATGAAAATTTTAAGTTTAAAATTTTAATTCATGTTTACGCTTATGCAATAAATGAAATACTGTAAATGGCCGGATAAAAGTCTTTTACTTTCCGCCAAATACATATTTTTTCATTTTTAACAGACATCCTAGTCATTTGAAAAAACAAGCACATTTGATTATTATAGATTTCTCAATTGCACCTGGATATAGTACATAGAAGGTCTACTATTGTGGAGACCTTTTATCCAGCCATTTACGGTAAGTCATAAAGGTGAATCAAAAGAAAAATCTTTTTTTATGAATCCAATTACAGCTTTGGAATCTTTCATAGATGAGTAACCTCAAGAACAATTTAAAATGTTTATTACATTGTATGTTATAATAAAAATTTAGCCAAATTCAACCGGTATAGCGAAGTTGAACAGTTCTAAATAGAACCAGCGCAAGGATTACCGTATTTGTGCGAAATAACGCCAATAGGCGTTATTTTTGAGACATGCAATTTAGAGAGTTAATAATTAATTGTCTAAAGTTTTTTTTTTTTAAAAAAAAAAATAAGCCTCGTATTCGGTTGTTATTTCGCGTAAATAGATACTGATGTACATGATCACACGACCAGTTTCATTATTTAACAAATACTATCGTTATGTGTACGTTATATTACATACGTACGTACTATGAATAATATTTAGAAACATTATTTTTCTTTAGAATTTTCAAAGTTAAAAATAATACGCAATATGTAGTTACCAATTTAGCTATATTTGATCATCCGACCCTGAGTGACGTAAACATATGTTGCTTTTCTGATATGATTCTCATAATATTTATATTGATGCATCAAAAAAGAAGTTATTTTGTATCACAATAAATGACGCTGATGGCGTTTTTAAACAATTAGAAATAGATTATAGTTAATTGGCTTGGAAAAAAATGTAGATAAAACAATGACTCACATTGTCCAAGAATGTCATGTGGAAAAGCAAATATTTTAGTCATTTTTATGTGTAATTGCCTGTTTTATTTCAAGGTCAAAAGTCGAACTTCGATTGAGAATCAATTCATTTAACCAGTAATATAATCAATCAAAAAAATGAGTGTGAGTATGGTCGGACAAAATTTGAAAGATTAGAATCAATTGAAAAATTTTGAAGAAACAATAATTACAAAAGGTCAATTCATAAAAATTTTGTGAAATTTTTTAAAACTGCTCCTATATGAAGTAGCTTTAAAAATCGGTAAACGTCTAACAATTGAGTGATTTCTTTTTTGATGAAATGCATAAAATCTATATACATGGACAATTATATAAATTACTTCAATAAAACATGCAGAAAATTTATTTATAGGGAAATTCTATTTTGGTCCTGGGTACGTATTTATATTATGGCACAAACTATAATGGAGGTTGTGTTATGCAAACACTCCTACTTTCTGTGGCATGTTATGTCGATCATTGGCCTAGATTGATCGACATCGGCCCGCATTAAGCTAATTTTGAGGGTAGCATTACGTTGGTCTAGATTAAGGATAGATGTAGAGTTAGAGTAAAAATTTATTACCAAAATTATGAGAGGAATTTTTTTTATTATAGCATAAAAGCTGTTTCATAGGCAAAATTTTGAGATAGAAAAAACTTTTTTCTTAATTTTGTCGATCGTGATTGGCACAGAAAGTAGGGGTGTGTTATACACGGCTATAAAAGGAAATTTATATGAGTGCTGCAAAGCGAGTTTTCCGAAATGTAATTTGAGTCTAATTAAAAGACTTATTAAAAAGGTTTTTAAGAATGGGTTCATTTTTGGAACAATTGTACTATCGCACAACATTTCCTTCTTGCCTTTTCTTGTCCACTTTACATATTGAGTTTCGCTTTTCTTGTCGTAACAACAGACCAAAACTCCGCAAAACACAATATAATTTATGTTGTGCTTAATTGAAATTTATCAAAAGTCAGCCGACAAAAACCGAAATTCCAGGTAGCATCATGCGAACCTCTCTATGGTCACCTCCCTTATAAGCACATCTATTCTAAAACCAACTAGTATAAACATATTTGAAAAAAACCTCCGTATAACACATTGTTAAAAATGTTACTATGATCCCGACAGTGTGATTATAGAGAGGTTCGACTGTAGATTATAAAATTAATGTCAAAATTTCTGAGCCGGCATTTTATCCTAGCAAGGATATGGGTCGGATTTATTTCTAATACGTTAAAACAAGGTTGAACTGACTTAATCATGTAATTATATATCCGGAATATTTTATATTGTATGGGAAATACGGGAATTAATACACTATAATTTATATATTAAAAGTATGTTCATATTGATTGTATGCACCTTAATTAATATTATTTTTAATACGTACAATTAACCACATTATATTTAAAGTTTAACTACGAAATAATTTTACTGTAAATTATGAGTTAAAGTTCATATCGTTCCATAATTATCGTGTGCATCCTACCTTATATAACACATGCTCCGTATTCATCAATTCTCCACAATTCCTTATTCTCAAATTCATTTTATAAACAACTGTGTCCTGTTTGCACATGTGCTATGTAAAATGAACCTAAAAAAATATATATTAATAAGACAAAAATGGAGAAATGACCCTTAAACCAGTTAAAACAGGTCTTTGTCTCGAGTTAATTCATTATGATCTGAATAACAATCTTAGGTACTTATAAACAATCACATAAACCTTATAAATATACAAAGAAAATTCTTTGTAAATAGATAAGCAAATCTTTCCGTTTTATTGGCTGCCTATGGTATTAGTTACTCCAAAGTCTTCGAATAATACATAATTATATTTTATATTGCAGTGTTGCATTAGTTACAAAATAGGGATCTATGAAAGAAAATAATAAAAACAGCTTCGTTCAACCACTCCATTGACCATTTAAAAATCAAGTTCATCCAATCAAAAAAAAATCTTATTTTGGGTAATTTTTTTTCCACATACATACATACTCCCAATACAGGTGCAAATCACAATCTAATTGAACTAAACTATTTATACATAATAAATATTGAAAAAAAAACAAAGAAAATAAAAGTCAGGGTACAGTTTTTTTGGGGATGTTGCCCATTTTACTTAGTACACCCAGCCTTGGTAATTTAGACAATTTTATGAAATATATTAATATGTGTTAAACATCACTGGTGTGATTTACAAAGCTGGTTTTTTCGAAAATTATCCTTCTCTTCATAGTATAGTGTATAAAAAAATCTGCACCAGTTATTTATATTAAGTTTAAGTAGTTTTAGCTCGAAAACACTAGTATTCGGTATTTCTTATTACGGTAAAGATTCTAAAGTTTATTTATCGTCATAAGTTTAACTTAAATTTTAAGTTTTACTGTAATTATTTATTATAATTTTAATTTACATTACGTAATTTTAAAATAAGTTTCCTCATTTGGATATTCGTATAGAAGAGACATTGCCCGTTCCAAAGTGAATCCCTTCCACCTGTGATCAATCACAAATTAAATTATTTATTAATCCCTCCCCAGTTTTAATATATGTGTAACATTAACGGTCTTTGCTGTAGGCTATTCATTGATCAAACCTAATTTTGACACGGAAGTACTTTTATGCAATACCGAAGAAAATATAAAGTACCTGTTTTTTCAAGGATCAATTTCTTAAAAAAAAAAGTATGTATTTTAAACACTTAACAAATTTTGATCTTGATATTTAATTTAATAAAATTGACTTACGAATAACTATTAAAAAAAAATGCTAGAACGACAGGTATTCATTATTAAAAGAAACTGCAAACATATTTATTTCAGGTACATATTTATTACATGGAAGTCAAGCTATCATTATAATAATCGGTATATGTAATAGATATTTCACGGTTCCTATGCCCGTAATGCTCGTGAAATAATTTTTTATATTTTCACGGTATAACGGTATCATAAAATATTATCAGAAATGTTCACGGGCGAACTTTAGGACTCGTGGAATATATTCAATAATAGAGGTTTTGTTGGGATTCTATTCATTACAAAACTCCGTATCCTGGTGATCAATTGTTGTTTGACATAATAGAAGCATACGTATCACAATCGATTGTGGCTGATCTTCGTACGCTATTAGGAACAGTCTCCGGCTTTCCCAACTCTATTATCACATGTTAGATCACATGATACTGACGTTTTTATGAAAACATCAATGCATTATTTTCTCACCCTATTGCTATTTTTTTTCACTGTATGACAGATTCGGCATAACACCACTTTAAGATGAAACAGTATCTTAAAAATATTTTCTCGGATGACAATATAATTGCCGAAACGTTTAAATACATTGAAGTTCCTCTTAATTTCATATTGTCATCCAGAAAAATTTATGAAATTTCTAAAAAGAGTGAAATTAGAGCTAAATGGATCATTACAAAATACGGGAGGGCGCATTCGCTCTTTTACGGTGTCCGACTAGGTCCTGGGTTTCTTAACGTTACAACAGCTCAAGAAATAATCAAGGAAAATGGAATATTGTCTAGATATTTTATACAACGAATATTAATGCATTTTGGTAGCTATGATCAACGGCTTTTTGAGTTAAAAATAGTTCACAACGTTGGCCCAATTGAAGTTGAACGTATCAGATCATATCAACAAAAGGTTCGACCTCCGTGGGGAAGTGATTTACCATTATCTGTTCTTACCTATTTATTAACCGAAGGATCAAATGGATTGGGATCTGAACTTTGCACAAAAGGGAATGACATGGAATTGTTCCATTTTTTGACAGGAGGACCTCACACAATAGATCAGGCATTCAATATCTTACATAAGAATATGCCTTTAATTAAACATTTGATCGTCGACATGAAGTTTACCCCATTTCCACCACGACCAAAAGCTAAGCAAATAGATGGATTTACCAATATTACTCAAATAAATCCATCTGAAAGATATCCACCAAAGGATGGATATGAGAACAACAGGCAACTTAATGTCATCGCTCGCGCGATTTTAATTTCAAAAGACCTAGTAAACCTTTGGAAGAAAATAGGTTATTGTGAAATTTGCGATGATGTGAACGATTTAGTAATGCAAGGGCAACTTCTCATTCTCTTCCCTCCAAATCCATCCGCAAAATGGGTTCAACCGAATACTCTCATTGTAAGTGAGCGACTCAAGGAATTAGTGGATCTTGGTTTTGATTTAAGTTATTCAGTTATTGTGGACATTTTTCTACTTTTTGAGAAACGTCTCAAAAATATTGGAGAAATTTTAACGGAATCATTTATAAATATTAAAGAAGAACATCAAACTACGTTTTTGGAGAAAACTTCAATAGAATTGTTAAAAAATTCACGAAATTTAAAAGATTTAGATATATTGGATTTCTTATTTAAGTGCCTGCATAATCCTGAGACTGTGTTTAACAATATATTAGATTATTTCATTGATAATACTAATGAATCCTCTAATAACATAAGTTTATCAGTAAAATCATTAACCTTTTCACCAAAGTTTTATTATTGGATTCTAATTAAATTTGGAACAGATTCAAATCTAACGATAAAATGTTTCGAGGAAATTCTTGATACATTTGTTAATTTAGATATACAGTTACAGCAAAATTCTGATAATGAAATTTATCAAATTTTATTTAAGTCGACATGTGATATATTGTTTGCTTATTGTAATGTTAAAAATTTTTTCAAACCTTTACATTTAGATAAATTATTCAAATGTACAAATAATGATATTTTATGTATAGTATTTGAACATTATTTACCCCTTTTATTTGGTATAGAGATAACACAAATGTTATTACCATTACCAACTACAGAAGAATTTTATTTACACTACACACCTAATTCAAACACTAAGCGAGAATGCACTAAACAGGAATTGGAAGATTGGTTTTCAAAACTTGAAAACATATTTTACACTTTATATTATGAAAAAAATAATGCAACGGAAGAATTTAAAAAATCTTTATTTATTTTTTGTGAAACCAAATTACCAGAATCAAATTTTGTATCAGAAATAAGAAAAAAACGTAAGATAAATTATGAATAAACATGTAAATTATATAACATTCAAATAATTTAATATTCCGTATGTATTGTAAGATTAGAAATGATCGATACGATTCCAGTTTAAGAACTTTTAAGATTTAGTTTTTTTAGTATTCAATATATATTTATTAAGATGAATGAATACTGTCTATAATCTTAGGTATTTAATTAGACATATAAACGATTATCTTTTGTTTGTAATTATGTCTAAGCATTCACTAAAGTAAGTATCATTTTTGTTGTCCGAAATCTAATTGTTTTTTTTATCTATATATTTAATAAATAATTGATTACATTTGCATATAATAATTAATTGCAAATTAAATAGTAATTATTCCGATTCTAAATATTATTTTATATAAAATTAGTAATAAACCGGTCACATTTCATAGAATTGATGCTTTGTACTTAAATTTTGAAAAATTCACATGTACAGTAAAATTAAGTGCCGATTATTACATAATATCAAAAGGGGTTAGCAGTCATATCAAGTCTATATGTTATATATAAAGATTATATGTTATATATAATTGGATACGAATTCGATTACCAAAGGGAGGAGGAGGTTTAAACAGTACGTAACTGATCCAATAAAAAATTAATCCACAAATATTGTATGGTTTAATCTCGATATAATCACTCTTGATGCTTGATATAGTCACAGATTAGCTGCTTAGTTTTCTTAATCATTATAAAGCATAAGAAAGTTAACTCCCGTATTGTCACTGTCACCTTAGTTACATGGAATTTTGGTTACCAATCTTGTGATTATATCGAGGTTAGATAATAGTATCAATTTTAAGCAGTATTAATTCTTATATATCCAAAGTTAAGCACCCTGTTCCACACTATACCAATTTTGGCACTTTATAATAATTGTGTGATTGTTAAAATTAGGTGGTATAATAGAATATATTGGTATTTATTATATAATTTGTTAGGTTTATCTGTTGTTAAATTAAATATACGTACGTATAATTCTTAAATATTTATTCTTAAGCCATGTAATTTCATAAATATTTCAAAAGTAATTTATGACTAAGAGAAGCAATTGACCAATCAAATACAATTATAGCTTCGTGTAACACCTACAGATACATATCGATCTACTTTTTTTGATACATCTAAACATACGCTAAAACTATAACCAATAAGATTATAATAAAAAGTATAGAAATTTTAGGGTATGTTTAGATGTATCAAAAAAAATAGGTGCAGAAGTATCAAAAATAAATATTTGCATCACAGAAAATCAACGGAGTTTAGCGGATTTTTTGATCTCCGACAATTTTAAAGATTTCAAATAATATAAATGTTATTGATAAAAAATTATGATCGATAGGAAATTTAGAATCTCCGAAATTTTCCGACATTACGTATCATCACGCCATAATAAATTATACAGTTCAATTTTGCCGGTAATTATGCATATCACGTACGTAAATGATTGGATGAAATTTTATCATCTGATTTTTAACAATCAAAAACTTTCATTCATAAGTTTTTATCTTCGAAGGAATACAGTAATTTATTTATTTTGTTATCGTTATGCGGTCGAACCTCCCTGCTGTCACCTACATAATCACAACTCTTTATAAGTTGTTTTATTTAATGATCATATTCAGATTAATTAAAATTTTTGCTAGAAACAAACTAAAATCCATGATTTATCAAGTTACAAGATTGAAACCAGTCACTATATAACTCTTATAATATTATGAACTTAATCCGGATACAAGATATTCAAAATAATAAATTTTTTGTTTCCACAGTTATAGTTGAGTCAATTTCCTCGGATAGTTCAAATACAAGCGAACCGGATCATAATGGTTCGGCTTTATTCGTGATGTTATCAGCTTTATTTAGAAAGGCTAAAAATGCGATAAGTAATATCATATTGCCATAAACCAGGGACGGGTAAATACTTCCATTCAAGTTTATTCCGATATAAACTGACCAATCAAAAATTTAATATAGTCACCAATGCATCGGAATCAATTAGATTGGAAGTATTCACCGTCACTACCGTAAATTCTCAAAATGACACAAAAACTTTAATTTCAAATATAACCCAAATTAAACTCGATTTGATCTGTAACCCATATAATAAGGTTAATAATTGTTATCGTGCGATTTTACGATAACAGTAGTAAAGATCCTAAAAGTAAAAGTTTGGCTTGATCTTATCCAAATTCGATTCGTATCGGAGTTTTATGAATCAGTTCTTAATATTAAGGGGTTTTTTGAATTTGTAATTATTTGGATTCAATTAAAATTGGGGTTTTATACATATAAATTATTGGATGTGTTGTATGCCCGATATTTTATATGACCGTGTGAAGTTTTTCTGCGATATTTTGCACAATTGATTACGTAATTTCTTAAAAAAAAATAAAGCCAAAAAAATTCACAAGATCATATGAATATCGGATGAATGAATCTATTTTTAAAATAGGCTAATTACAAATTTTATTTACTTTCAATGAAATTCCAGATATTATCGTTGTGTCGCGAATAGAATTCCAAATACTCCTATTTTGTTTCATTCAAAATTAAATTTACTTATTTCTAGTTCGTCATTTCTTTTTTCAATCTTGATTAAACGCGATCTAGAACGATTACTTAATTATTTTAGAAAAATCAAAAGTCTAGCATATATTATTAGGTTAATTTAACGGTTCGTGTTTAGCCAGTATGACATGCATGTCGATATTCTTAAAAGTGGGTACGTGCTTTATTTTCTAAAAATGGAAATTTACAATTACGTACAATAAAATCGTTTAGTGTAACGTCACTCAAACACAGCCCGAAAAAGTGTACAGCGCAGCTTTACGAATCAGATTTCAAGATTAGGTGTAATGTAACATGATCAAAACAGACGTTTGTTCGCTCAGAACTCAAAAATCGGCATAATAAACCACCTTTTATGCCCTAACAAAAGTTTTTGTTGGACAATTTTATATAAACAACCCTGATCCTAACTCTAAACTTACCGAATTTTGTTTGCTCGGCAAACCTTGTATACAATTTAAGTATGCGCCATATACAGCATATTTAGCCATATATGGCAATACATAAATTCTCTATCACTATAGAAAACTTTTATACTAACTTATTGAGTAAAAAGGTATTTGTTGGCATAAAAATATATCTAGATATAAAAATATATCTAGATAACACTCATTACTTTCAAAATTGGTAATTTAAATCGGACTTAAATCGGTTGAAATTTTATTTCTAGAATAGGTTATTATTACATGAATTTTTTAACATATATCAGATATTCAATGACACACATCTGTGTACTTTAAACTTATCATTGCTATTTCTTTTTAGTTCATAAGGATAAATGTTTTGGGACAAATATTTGTTTCAAAATAACATCTGCTAAGCGCCTGTTGATTTGTTTTTTCCTTTTAAGCCTGTTTGATCGCAGGATGCCGGGAGGCGTACAAATCTTTATTAACTCCTTTTTATTAAAAGGGTCTTCTAAATTTGTAAGATTCCTCACATTTAAAAATTACATGAATTTATTATCTATATATCGGTACATTAACCATTTAAGTTTATACTAATTGCTAGCAACTGGATTACCAGATAACCTAATTATAACCGGAGGATTTTACCGGAAATGTGTTTTTCCTGGGTTACTTGTTTTTTTTTTCAACCGTAGTTTCACCGAAGGCGTCCTTATTTTGTATTGATCTTGAAGTATCACATGAGAGTCTGCGGCTGAACCTCAATCTTGATCCTGGCACAATTTTTGTCCTCCAGTATAACTCGAACCGGTGACCTTGAGATAGGAGATCCAGGAGCGTAATCACTACGCCATCGACCCACGGGTCGCGCCTGTATTTTAAAATAGCATTTAAGTCTCACATTTTGAAAATCAACTTATTTCCATTTTAAATGAAGTTTTAGGTAGTGATATGCATTTATATGGTACCTGAAAAATTTTAGCGTATAGTACGTATAGTTCTTATCTGGTTGGCCAGAAAAGAAGTCGGTGGCAAAAATTTTAACGTACAGTACGTATAGTACTTTACATGGCATATCACTAATTTTAGGACAGAATAAATTTTTTAAGCTTATATACAATGTATTTTTAAATAGTTAAATTGTTATTTTTAAAGAAATAAATTACTGCGCACATTCATAAAAGAATGCACAGATTCGTTTAACACTCCATACCATATAACTGCGACATAACACATGGGGTGTGATTTCTAATTTCAGCTTAATTTGGGCCCCTGCGTATTACAACATTATTTCGCGGTTATACGGTACCTTTAAAAGCATGGAAACACACGATTTAGAAACTATTATTATTATTATTATATCTACCTTTTATAAATGAATGCATAAAAATATATATCATTTGAATGCCGTTAAAAAAAAAAAGCCTGTAATCCACATTTGGTAATAAGGGGTTTCAAAGTTAACAATGAGGTCGTATTTTGAAATTAAATGAGTCATTTAATAAAATAAATAGATTTTTCAATGACAAAATAATCAAATTTATCGGCAAATGAAATAGAATTTAGAGATTGCTAATTTAAATAAATATGTTTTATTAATTCTGTCAAAATTAGATTCCCGCACGTTAACTTTGAAACCCCCTAATTTTTCATTCATTTCCCAGTAGCACAATTTAGCGCCATCAGAATCAAACTTGAAAGGTGAAGACTTACTAAATACATATGATTAGCTAATAAGTCATATACATACGTGCGTGTAAATGCTATATTTTAAGTACATAATTTCTTTCCTATTACACATAAAAAGTAATCCTATTTTATTATCATATGAATAAATTCTTTGAGTGCTGATAAGCGATATCTCTCAAGTTAAATATCAAATTTTTATTCTTTTATTTTTTCATCTGGTGATTCTTAAAAATCCTGATCGCTTATAATTAAAGCTTAGCTAAAGATGGGTGATAAAATTATTTAGTGACAACAAAATGGTTTTTATTGACAAAATTAATTTGATCAATAAAAT